CTTTTGTTTTAAACCTTATGACATTCAATAAACAAATAAACTAAATAAAATATTTTAAAGAATGTTGGTAATCAAACCATTTTTTGTTGACCAAAAACAGACTTTTTTCAAAATCATCTTTTGTTCGACAGAAGAAAGAAGTTCTCATAGAGTTTTGGAACAATATCAGGATGAATAAATGATTACACAATTTTAATTTTGGGGTGAACTTTCCCCTTTAGCACCATTTGTTGAAAAAAGAAAAAAAAAATCAGGCCCTATTTTGAATCATATTCGTGGAAAGTGCCATTTGTGGTTTTCCCCGTTACTCTTTACCATCACTACTGCCGCGGGTTATATGGAGGATTGAGTAGAAAGGCTGAAGCACATTAATAACAACTCCAATGACTAATGAGAGCTCGGCTGGAATAGAAGATATTTTTGGTTTTGTGTCAGAAACTCCTCTATGGCATACTGTATAGGGTTTACTGGCTGCACAGCCTAATACGCTAATTATCGTTTTTTCCCCTGGAACTAAATGAACATGCAGCTCATTTGTTAAAAGCAGAACTGCATTAAAGTACAAAAGTACTTAAAGCTCCTCTAATACTCAATAATATACTGTACAGGTAATTAATGTTTTTGCCTTGAGGAATGGCTTGTGTAGATAAGGCTTTACTGTATGGACCTTAAAAATGTTATTCTTAGTGATGTCTTCTATGTTAAGTCAAAGCAGCTGATGTTGCCATCAGTTTTAATTGCAGACGTGCTCTATCAAAAACAGCAATAGCTTCGTCTTAGCTCCTGGAAGGCATGAGAATGGGATTGAAAAGAGAAAGCAAAAATCTAATTATTCAGTCAAATGAAAGTACTCTTATTAAGGAGAAATTGTTCAGAGAGATTCTTTGTTTTGTTACAAACAGATAATCACTCTTCAGTATCCACAGTCAAATTATGCTGCTGTTGTTTATTCATTGCCTCAAGTTTTTTAATTTAAAACTGCTTTTGTTTTCAAGAGAACAGGCTTTTGTTTATAGCTAGGAGTCGAAATATTGATGGTAAGTTTAGATCAGTTCTTCAGTTCAATTTAGCAAGCCGAAGGCTTCTCTAAGAAGTCAAATAAGTGATTTTGGGGCTCACAGCGTGCCAGAAGCTCTTCAAACTAAAGCGACTAAGTAAGTGGATACAGATTAAACACAGCTGAATTTCAAGTGCCTGTCAACCAGTCTGCCTCCCAAATAATCTGCCTCATCTCTTTGAAGAATTCACATTCAACCGTGTGGGAAAATAATCTCGGAGTAGAGAGATCCTTGCACAGATTAGCCTCTGGCATATTGCAATCCTAAACACACGAATGGAAGAGAAGCCACGCTTTGGAAAGGTTTTTGAGGCAGTTTGTCCTCAGATAAGTGTAGATTTGTGGAAGTATAATCCGAGCATCATCATGAGCCCTAGCATTTTCCTTATCGGGGCTCGGGCTGCGCACCCACGGAGGCTTTATTTCCTTACAGAATGAGAGAGAAACAAGTGTGACCAACATCACTGGAGGCGGCGCAGGTTCCAGCCGAGCAGAACTTTCCAATTACCTGATACATGGGCATATAAACAGAGAGTTAGCTCTGTTTAAGCCAGCAAGTTCCTTAGAGATAAACACAGATTCTAATCTCTGTTATTGTGTTCTTAACCTTCACTTTTCATGTTTTACTAGCAGTAATCCTCCACTGAGAGATGCCGATAACAGTGATAATGATGTACGAGCTAAATGCAACTTTAATGGCTTGTACCGACTGAAAAACAAAGGCTCAGATCTTCTGTTTCAAACTAAACATCAGTCCTGTGTGGCTGAGGGTGCGGAAGCGCTAATTAGATTTATAGACTGAAGGGGACCTCTGAGACCATATGAATCATCTGTAATTTGATAGAAAATGTGATAAGACTCACACAAACATATTTACATAAAAAGTTCCAAAATGGAAAAAACATTAGCGAAGTCTTCAAAACTATACTGTTTTGAAAGCTTTTTAAAGCCATTTTTATCCCAAGTGCTGTCAAAGGATTCACTGTACGGTTCCTTTCCACATAATTCTCTCTTTCTTTATTTCACTCAAGGTTTGTCTTTTCAAGGTTATAAGCGATTTCTGCATTCCCCCTCTAGTTCTGTGAAATCTGATATGACCATATCTGTCCCTGACCCATCTCAAGCGTCTGTGTGTTGTACATCAAAACAAGACAAGCACTCACTGACACTGTCCATGAGTCATCGCTCGCACAACCTCTCTGCCCATTTCTTCTATTCTCTTTTCTGTCTAACATATATATTCATCTTTTGTGATCTATGTCAAGGGAGAGTGTGAAACTCCTTTTTCATTTGAAGACATTTGTTTGAGCGCCGGCAAGTGTAACTGTGCAGACATTCCCTGCAATATGAGTATCACATATTTAAAGATAGAAAATATATATAGAGAGAGAGACTTGTTGCAGAAATTTAAAATTATAGCATGTAAATACATGAATTAGATAGATAGATAGATAGATAGATAGATAGATAGATACTTAATATATATGTTTTGTCAGATTTTGAAACATTTAAAACAAAAAATAAACTTTACAACATAAAATGTAAGCTACATATTATGGAAAATACTTTTGTATAGTATTTTCTTTACACTTTACTTCAAAAACTATGTCTAAAAAGGGTAATATTTTATGTATTTGAGGTCTGAGATGTGGGAACGGTGAAGAGAGAGAGGGCAAACATTTTGCATTTTAGGTCAGCATTGCTGTCTAATCAACCAATATTGTCTTAAATAGCCTGCATAGCACTTCATCTTTTATAACATGGGATTTTGACCAAATATATTCATATATCTTGATTTTTGTAAAATGTTGCAACAAGATGTAATTTGTGTGTGTGTGTGTGTGAAAAATTACAGTTTTGGACATATAAGGTAATAAAAAGCGTAAAAACTTAAAGTAACTACAAATCAGCATGTAAAGCAAATACCTTTAAAAGAACTTCTGTGTGGAGCATGCCCCGATCCACGTAATGTACTCACCCTTTTTTCCTCTTAACGGTGTGCATCTCTGTTTTACAATGCATTTAAATTTTCTTCTAATCTAAGTCACACTCAAAGTAGTGACTATTTCCAGATCACTAATCAAATAATCCAAATAGTTCACTCAGCTATTATAGTCATTATTATCACTCATTCATTAAAATATCCCAGATGGATATGTACAAGGGGCTCTTAATGGATGTATCCATTTAAATTGGTCAATGTAATGGAAACAGAGCCCCTTCTTATAGGACTCCATAAAAGTCTTGAGTCGCTTGTTCAGCTTGACTAACCAGTTTTTCTCATATTTGTTGTGCACACAAGAATAATATTCTTCATTTCACTCTCAGCGCTTCTGCTGTGATGAGAACAAAGGTAAAACCTTTTTTCCTTTTTCACCTCACTTATTCATTCTTTCTGGCTTCTAAAAGCTTGTTGAAAAGCGCTGTAAATGTATGGGGTGGTAATCTTGTCATTTTAAAAGCATCATCCATTAGCTTGATCTTGGTGCCACAAAAACACATTAATATAAAGTTGAAGATGGAAGTCATTTTATTAACCTTCTCCTACCATTTAAATGGCGCGGTAACTAATTCAGACCAAAAGTGACATTATTTCTAAATATTTTAGGCTGGGTTATGAATAAGAAAGTGCAGCAATGGCTACATGTGAAGCAAGTGAATTTGGTAAGTTTCCTGATTAACACATTTCAATTCTTGGTGTCTAACATTTCTGATTTTGTAGATAGATAGATAGATAGATAGATAGATAGATAGATAGATAGATAGATACTTAATATATATGTTTTGTCAGATTTTGAAACATTTAAAACAAAAAATAAACTTTACAACATAAAATGTAAGCTACATATTATGGAAAATACTTTTGTATAGTATTTTCTTTACACTTTACTTCAAAAACTATGTCTAAAAAGGGTAATATTTTATGTATTTGAGGTCTGAGATGTGGGAACGGTGAAGAGAGAGAGGGCAAACATTTTGCATTTTAGGTCAGCATTGCTGTCTAATCAACCAATATTGTCTTAAATAGCCTGCATAGCACTTCATCTTTTATAACATGGGATTTTGACCAAATATATTCATATATCTTGATTTTTGTAAAATGTTGCAACAAGATGTAATTTGTGTGTGTGTGTGTGTGAAAAATTACAGTTTTGGACATATAAGGTAATAAAAAGCGTAAAAACTTAAAGTAACTACAAATCAGCATGTAAAGCAAATACCTTTAAAAGAACTTCTGTGTGGAGCATGCCCCGATCCACGTAATGTACTCACCCTTTTTTCCTCTTAACGGTGTGCATCTCTGTTTTACAATGCATTTAAATTTTCTTCTAATCTAAGTCACACTCAAAGTAGTGACTATTTCCAGATCACTAATCAAATAATCCAAATAGTTCACTCAGCTATTATAGTCATTATTATCACTCATTCATTAAAATATCCCAGATGGATATGTACAAGGGGCTCTTAATGGATGTATCCATTTAAATTGGTCAATGTAATGGAAACAGAGCCCCTTCTTATAGGACTCCATAAAAGTCTTGAGTCGCTTGTTCAGCTTGACTAACCAGTTTTTCTCATATTTGTTGTGCACACAAGAATAATATTCTTCATTTCACTCTCAGCGCTTCTGCTGTGATGAGAACAAAGGTAAAACCTTTTTTCCTTTTTCACCTCACTTATTCATTCTTTCTCAGATAGCTAATGGCTTCTAAAAGCTTGTTGAAAAGCGCTGTAAATGTATGGGGTGGTAATCTTGTCATTTTAAAAGCATCATCCATTAGCTTGATCTTGGTGCCACAAAAACACATTAATATAAAGTTGAAGATGGAAGTCATTTTATTAACCTTCTCCTACCATTTAAATGGCGCGGTAACTAATTCAGACCAAAAGTGACATTATTTCTAAATATTTTAGGCTGGGTTATGAATAAGAAAGTGCAGCAATGGCTACATGTGAAGCAAGTGAATTTGGTAAGTTTCCTGATTAACACATTTCAATTCTTGGTGTCTAACATTTCTGATTTTGTATTTAAGAAAAGCTTAAATCTACAATACATCTCTAGATGTATAGACAGCAGGGAACAAGAAATCATGTCTTTGATATTAGGAATGCATCGTCTCTTATTGGCAGGAGTCCAGTTTCTCTTTGATTTGAGGATAGTGTTATTGGGAAACAGAGCAGCAGGGAAAACCTCTTTGGCAAACCTAATAACAGGTCATGCAGAGCCTCATCTAAAGAGAACGGCCCAGTGTGTGAAGATGCATGGAGATTTTGCCGGAAGGCAGGTCACTGTAGTTGATACGCCGGGCTGGTGGAAGAACTACCTTGTCAAAGAAACCCCTGAATTTCAAAAACAAGAGATTGTGCTTAGCGTAGCTCATTGTCCTCCTGGGCCCCATGCGGTTCTGCTGATCATACGTGTCGATGCTTTATTCAAAGAAAAGCACAGGAGGTCAGTGCAGGAACACCTGGAACTTCTGAGCGAGAGAGTCTGGACCCACACTATAGTTGTGTTCACATATAGAGACCAGCTACAGGAGCAAACTTTAGGAAAGTACATTGAAAGTGAAGGAGAGTCTCTTCTGCTCTGGCTAGTGGAGAAATGTGGACACAGATATCATGTTCTTAATACTGAGAGAGCCACCGGTACGCAGTTGACGGGGTTAATGGGGAAAATAGACGCAGTGGTCGTGGGAAACGGTGGCTGTCATTTTGAAATGGACAGAAAATGGATGTATATGGTGGAAGGAATGATGACGAAGAGATACATGAGAGCAAACCAGAGGAGGAAGATGGTACAAGAACAATGGGAGACTCCACTTGTACGACAAGGTAAGAACCAGGGGCCAGATTCGTGAAGATCTTCTCAAGAAGGCCCAATTCTGAAAAGTTCTTAAAGGGATAGTTCACCCAAAATAACTTTTCATGATGGATTTATGCATTTTATTTCGCTGCATTATAAAGCTTGGAAGAGCCTGGACATTCCAGTTGTATCTGTATGAAAGAAGAAAGTTATATACACCTAGGATGGCTTGAGGGTGAGTAAATCATGGGGTAATTTTCATTTTTGGGTGAACTATCCCTTTACGAATGTTTCTAAGTGCAATTTCTGAAAATACTTTTTTTTTTTCTAACGAGAAAAATGTAAATTGGAGGTTATCCAAACTTTAAGAGATTATTCTTTTTAAGAACATTCTTTTCAGGAATTTAAAAATGTTTTTGGGAATGCAAAATATTCTTAACTTCATTGTCAAGAATAAAGTAAATGTGAAGAAGAATTTTTTTTCTTAATGCTTTGTGAATCTGGCCCCAGATAACCATTTTTAAAAGAATAGTTTACTCAAAACTAAAAATTTTCTCTCATTATTATTTCCCTCATGTTGTCCCCATGCAACACAGAACGAGACATTCCGAAGAGTATCATGGCTACTTTTTCCAATTTAATGAAAGTGAATGAGATCAGGTGTGCTACTGAACTCCAAAATGACAAAAACGCATTTAAAATAAACCTGATGTGTACACCTTATGAAGTCAAATGATTCAAATTATGCAAACTTATAATAAACCAATCAGTTTTTCTCTCTGCTGTAACTTTCAATTGAAATATAATGGACTACAAAAAAGAAATGTAGATGCCCATTACCTTTAGTTCTCACTTCTCTTAGTGACAAAATATCATTGATATCTTCAAAAGAATGAAAACAGTTTGGATTGACCTGGGGGTGAATGAATGTTTACATCATTGTTATTTTGGGGTGAACTATCATTATAATCTCAGTTTAGACAAAACATATTTGATTTAAATTCATCTTGTTTTTACCAGGTCTCAAACATGTCCACATTCCTAAGATGAGGATGATAATGTTAGGTTTCCGAAGATCTGGTAAGAGTTCAGCTGGAAACACCGTTTTGAGTATGGCGACATTCATCTCCAAGAGAACATCCACGTGTGTGAGAAGACAAGGCGAGGTGGATGGGAGACATGTGACTATAGTGGACACTCCAGGCTGGTGGAAGTCTCTCCCAGTGGCTGACACTCCTGAACTGGATAAAGAGGAGATTTTATTCAGCATGTCTCTCTGTCCACCAGGACCGCACGTGCTTCTGCTGACTCTGCGTGTAGACATGTCATTCACAGCAGCAGAGAAGAAATCAGTGGAGGAGCACATGCAGCTTCATGATGAGAGAGTGTGGGCTCATACCATAGTGCTGTTCACCCATGGAGACTGTCTGGGGGACGTGACTGTTGAAGAGTTCATTGAGAGTGAAGGGGAGGCTCTACAGTGGCTAGTTGAGAAATGTGGGAACAGATATCATGTCCTCAACAATGAGAACTGGAATGATGGCAGTCAGATCACAGAGCTGCTGGAGAAAATCGAGAAGATGGTGGCACAAAATAGGGGCCATTATTATGAAATTGACCTTAAGACACTGAAGGAGGTGAAGCAGAAAAGGAAAGCAGTGGAAAGGAAAGCAAAGGCAAGAGCAAAAAAACAAAGACAGATGAGGAAGATGGACAGAACAATAAAGAGTAAGATACTGGTTTTACAAAAGTTTGAAACAATTTAATTCCATAATGTGACATTTCTGAGTAAAACATGATATGCAATGAGAAAACATGCACAGATGAATCACACAATAACATAAAGAATGTGCATTAAGAATTTACTTCTGATTTTTTTTAATTCTTTTTTATACTGTATTTATTATTCAGCATTTCACATTATCTACTTGTTAACAAAGGGGGACTTTTTTATTTGATTTTGATTTTACTGAATGCATCTAGTCAAAGTTTATTGTACACAGTAGCACATTTATTTAAAAATAAAAGAGAAAAGTCAAATGTAGGTTAAAAAACACATTACAGCTATACACATTTACTGCATAAACAAGTTGAAATGATATTTCCACTGCATTTGCAAAAAATCTACATACACCTTTTGGTGCACCCAGCACATTCCTGATTGTGCAAAACTGTACTGATAGTACAAAGTCAGCATCTTACAACTAAAAAGGAACAAGAGCACATCAGTAAAAAAGACAAAGGGATGATGCTGAGGAAGATAAGAGCTACTCTTGCTGAAAGTCAATACTTACAATATTGTGGTGATGGAGGGATACAGAGTTCAAATTGCAAATTGAGTTTATTTTTTGTGGCATTTTATGGTCTCAGTTTGTCTTAGAAAAACAATTTTGATGAGAAAGTTTTGGCGTCACCGTGTCTGCTAAGAGTTCAGTGTGCATCACAGAAACGCTGTATCATTCAAGCTGCATTATTTATTATGAGTTCAGTCTGAGTGCTTGTCTGTGTGCCTTTAGGTTTTGGGAATGTGATATTTGATAACGATTAATAGTAATGTATATTACTATGTAATTTGATAATGGTAATGTACAGTATATAGTTTTGTTTATATTAGTCAAAACTCATTTTACAAAATATTTGATGTTCCAAACATATTCCTCAAGTCAGCATTTGTTATCAAAATAAAATTATTGTAAGTTCTTGAATTATGGAAGCCTTTTCACTGAGAAAAAGATTGCAGAAATAAATTTCAGATCCGTAAATATAAATTCGCAAAAATATCGCAGTTGCTCTTTTTGTTTATTTATTTGTTTGTTTGTGGCAGAAACAGGCTTCCATAGTAACCATAAACCAATAACTTTCAAGATTTTTATTTTGATAACAGATATTTAACTCAAAATTGTGAGTAAGTTCAATGAGTGTGTATCTTGCAATTTTAAAATGATTGGGGAGCACGAGGAGGAATGCGACTGGTAAACATTGCAGGTCAAGTTCAAACCCATATCAACCTGACAGAAGTAATGCTTGTCAGACCTGTTCATTCACTATATAATGTTGTTCCTATGAAGGTGGTGGCTTATATTAAAGGTCATTTAGTAATCTTGACCCCCCCCCCCATGTCTTTAGATGTTGGAAAGCATTTCTCAGAATTTTCTCTTGTGCTGCTGGGTTATGGAGAATCTGGGAAGAGTTCAACAGGGAACACCATCCTCGGCAGACAGGTGTTTGGGTCAAGAAGAACCGCCCGGTGTGTTCAGAGACATGGAGAGGTGGGAGGACAGCAGGTCAGCATCATAGACACCCCTGGTTGGTGGAAGCATCTGCCCACAGATCAAACCCCTGAACTAAATAAAGACGAAATCACACAGAATGCATCTCTATCCGCTTCTGGACCGGTCGCTTACATTTTGGTCCTTCGTGCTGACTGTTCCTTTAAAGAGCAAGAGCGGAAGGCGATGGAGGATCATTTGAGGCTTTTGGGCTCCATGGTTTGGGATCATAGTATAGTTCTGTTCACATTTGGGGACCTGCTCGGAGACAGAGCCATTGAGCAGCACATTGAATGCGAGGGAGAAGCTCTGCAGTGGCTTGTTGACAGATGTGGAAACAGGTATCATGTTTTTAATAATAAGGCCAAGGGTGAGAGCCATCAGGTCACAGAGCTGCTGGAAAAGATACAGGAGATGATTTCAGCAAACAGCGGGTGCAATGACAAGGGCATGCAGGTGCTGCGGGAGGTGATGGAGGGGAGGAGGTTGGAGGAAGACCGAGCAAACACCAGACTGAAGATGCAGGGACAAAGAGAGGAAGATGAATCCGATGATGTATTTGATGATGGTGAAGATGATGAAGTCATCTGGGAGTCGAGAGCATGGAAATGGACAACAGCCGTATGAGGCGAAAAGTTCCAAGTTTCATAATTAGTGCTTTTGTTTTGTTTTCGAGTAGAAATATCTAAACATCCTTAAAAAAAGACAATTATTTATTATTATGATTATTATTAACAAAAGTATATATATATATATATATATATATATATATATATATTAGTGCTGTCAAATGATTAATCGTGATTAATCACATCCAAAATTGTTTTTGTTTACATAATATATGTGTGTACTGTGTATATTTATTATGTACATATAAACGCAAACAAATACATGTATATATTACACAGTACACATACATATATAATGTAAACAAAAACTTTTATTTTGAATGCGATTAATCACGATTAATCATTTGACAGCACTAATATAT